TGATCGGCTTACTCCATTTTCGTTCCTCACTGTAATTTGCCTTTTTATTTTTCTGATCTGTTCACCTTCATAAATGTCTCCTTCCAACCAGCGAATCAAGTGCCTCTGAAAATGCTCGAACGTCTGCGTGTTCCAGAGTTTGATCTTCACGGGAGCCTTTGTCGCTGAAAAAATAATATGCACATCTCTTTTGATCAGTGAAAACCTTGGTAAGGGAGTAGAAGACATTTTCTAAGAGTTATGTGACAAATGGTGTGAAAAAATGAAGAGGATGAATGGTTGCATTTATAGAAAACCATATAACACTATCAAGCCACAATAGATGGTGCCCTCTCTAACATTACATGCATGCGCCACACTGCATGGCTTTACAGATGACGGCAAGCTATGCAGTGTGGCGCCTCCTCTCTAAACTGTATGCATGTGCCACACAGAGTGGCTACTCATTTGTGTGACGATTTTTTTTTGTTTGAAAAGTGGTTAGTTTGATAAATTTTTTGAAAATGTGATTATTTGAAAAAAAAATTTGAAAAATGTGATTATTTGAAAAAAAATTCAAACGATTTTAAATTTAGGGGAAAAAACTAATTTAAAAAAAATTAAAAATTTATAAAATTAAAATAGGAGATCAAAAGGGAATTTATTTATTTCTAATTTATAAATGTGATTTGTATTTTCTAGAAGATTGTATAGCAAACTAATTTTTAATAATATAATATTTTATTAATTTATACCATTACTTTAACCTTATATTGTGTATTTTATAAAAGTTTATATCTCTAATAAAATCTTTTAAATTATTAAAATGTACCCTTTTATTTTTCTCTATTCTGACAATACCGTTACATCCTATGATTTCCGTCCCATCCGTTTGGTTTATGATTAAATATTTACAAAATAAAATAAAATTATATTTTAATATTAAATATATTTAAAATAATTTTTAAATTTAATAAGTATCTATTGATCGTATTAAATAGTTTCACTGTCATTCTATAGAAAACTATTAATTTATTATATAATTAAAAAAAATTTTAAATAAAAAATGATTTCATTGAATATATAGTAGTGATCAGTATAAAAATATTTTATATTGTAAATACATTTCTATTCTCTTGAAAAATTTTAATAAATCCTCTAAAACATATATATTTGTCATATTTTTTCAATTACTATATGTTTTTGTCAAAATATGATTAAATTTTTTTTAGATAAATGCTATACTAATGGACACTAAATAATTTATCATTAAATATCAACAAATATTTTTCTAAAAGGATAACAATGAAAATTTACAATTTAGAAGTGAATGAAAAAGTATGGTGAATTTAAACTTGAACTCTTTTTCTTTTTTTTTTTGGTAGTAAAACTTGAACTCTTTCAATCAATTGAATTGATTTAACAAAATTTGAGAAAGGTTTTATTAACGGTTACTCCATCTAGTTTTTATTACTACATAAAAAAATTAATTATTTAAATTAATTGAATAAAATGTATCTAACCTATATTTAATCTAAATATATTAATTATTGCATTTGAAGAGTTATTTTTTTTAATAATCTCACATTAGTTGTATAGTGGTCTTTGTTTAATTCTATTTTAATTAGTTTTTTAAATTAAACCATTTTTTTAATTTTAAATTATAAATAAATAAATAAATAAAAATAAAAATAAAAATAAAAATAAAAATAAAAATATAATAATAAAATAAAAGTAATTAGTGCCTTGCATTGTAAACGTGATGGTAGCATTTCTTAGCATAGGCAATGGCAAGATACTCACCCCCATCGATCTACGTTAATTTTAAAATCGTTTTCAAAAGCAAGTGTTGGTTGGCAATTCGTGTGAGCCTAAAATAATCAAATAAAAAAGCAAAAAGTCAAAACTGAATTTCATAAAATAAGGAAAAGTATTAATAAATAATATTAAAAATTGTGTATAAATAGCAGACGTAGATGGTAGAAATGCCTCAGTTGTTTTATACGAGCGACTGTTTCAGAAGCTGCGTGTGTTCAGGATCCTATGGTGGGGTCTCATCTATCTCATCTAAGGTTCTCACTAATATTTTCTTCTCTTTGTTGAGTTTAAGAATTGTTCAAATTCGTTACCATCGTTGTCAAAAACGAAGTTGATTTGGTTTTTCTTTCTTCTGTTTATGTTTGTGTTTTTTTTTTTCCTTTTCGGGTTTTTTAAGGTTCAAGTCAAAGGTTTCTTCGAGTACTAGTGCCGTGTTTTGCTTGTGCTCATTCTCAAACTATGATTGATCACCGTGTTTATTTTTTTTATTTTTTTGAGTTGATCGTTGAGGTTATGGGCTAATGCTGTCGTTTTTTTGGTCGTGTGAATTTTCTCGGGAAAATTCTGGGTAGTGGTTATTTGGTCGGAAATTAAGAGAAAAAAAATCAATTATATTGAAGATTGATAATATTATTGGTGTCTTAAACGCCGCGTGACTCATGTGTGTTGTTGATGTTTTACGCTGACACAATATTAACATGAGTAGCGTGTCTCTTAGTTCTTAGTGTTAGACACCGACACAATATTTTACGTTTTAACATTAATGTAAAACAGTCACATGACTTCAACGTGACTTAATTTTTTTAAATTAAAGCCAATGGTAACGTGTTTGTGTTAGTATTTACGATAAAGTTAATTGAATGTTTTACAACATTAACACATATTAGTCTCGTGTCTCTCACGTCCTAACATTAAATAGTGACATGACATAACATGACATTTCTCGTATGTGTTAATGTTATACAATGACATCGACATCAGTGTTATTTTAACTTTTTGAAATTAAAGTTTAAAATAACGTATTTGTGTTAGTGTTAAAAAAAAAGTTAATCGAAAGTTTCTTATATCTTACACAACATTAACACAGATAAATCACGTGTTTCTTACATCTTAGCGTTAGACACAGACATAATATTAACATGAAATTAAAGCCGATAGAAACGTGTTTGTATAAATTCTTTAGAAAAAGTTAATTAAATGTATCTTACATCTTAATATTAAACATTGACACAACATAACACTTGTCTCATATGTTTTATGGTTAGACACTGACGCAACCTCAACACACCAGCCGCGTAACGTATTAACATTAGACACTGACACGATATCAACACACGACTTTAATTTTGTGAAATTAAAATTGATGGTGACGTGTTTGTGTAAATGCTTAAGAGAAAGGTTTGAGTGGTTCAATTTGTTAAAAGAGAAAAAGGTTAGTGGGAAATGAAGGAGAGACAGAAAAGTGAAAGATACAGACACAGAAAAAGGGGGCCAAAGTAGGATAATTTGGGCATAAAATTAAATACTGAAAGAAGCAAAGGGGTAAGAGTTAGAGGGTGACAATTTAATGCTGTAACATACCCTATTGGTTTTAAGGGTATTGAACGGTAGGGTAGGGGCCTGTTTGGTGCTTTGTATTTTCATTTTGTAATGCATTTATTGCAGAAAACAGAAGGTGGAGGGTGGAAGAAAGAAAAGAAAGAAGAGGTGGTGGGTTTAGAGAGAGAGAGAGAGAGAGAGAGAGAAAAGGGTGTTACAGTTGACCATAATGAAGCTTATATAATTACAACAACTCATCCATTATCTCATACTACTCTATATACTCTCTCTTCGGTTGCTTTTATTTTCAGTATTAATTTTTTATTTAATTCCATTTATATATTCCTTTTATTTCATTCTTATAACCATTCAATTCAATTTATGAAACACAGTTACCAACTTGACTAGAAACTCCTGCTTTCTCTTCTTCTCTAGCTTTGGACTTTGGTAATTCTCTCTCTCTCTATTTCTCTCTCTATGTTTCTCTCTTTGTGTTTTCCATGATCAACTAGTTTCAGAAATGGTTAATTCTCAAGGTCAGAGATAGTGGGAATTTTTTAATTTTTTAGGGTGATTAGAATAGTATATTATGAAATTTTTTATCAATTTTTTATGTTGTGAAGGCTTTGGGATCTGAGATAGGGATCTCTATTGATTTTCTTGACCATGTTCCCTAATTTTCCTTCATAGGGATTGAGGTGTAAGTTGAAAAAAACCAACCCAGTTGGTGTTTTCAGTTTTCACTTTACTTTTTCTGGAGTTCTAAACATGTTTATTCTGTTCAGTCAGATCTATTCTGTGCTAAAAGCCAAATAATTGGTTGGGGCTTTTATTTTTTGTAGGCCTTTTGATTTAAAATTTGGGTTTGTAATTTTGTAGTTGAAAACCTTCAAAAAGTTGAGTGGTTTTTTAATCTTTTCTTTCTTGTCCTGTTACACTTTCTGCACTGTCTTTGGATTCTACTTCTGAGAATTCTTTTTTTTTTTAATATATATGAAAAAAAGTAACTGGTATTTCTCTTTTTTGTTTGTTTATAAATTGATTATTTTCATAGGCTCTTATAGGCTATTCATATTCTTAAACAAAATGAACTTGATTGGTGTGTTAAGATGTATTTTTGGTTGCATGTTAGAAGCTTGAGATAGACAATGGTCCCCATTTTTACTGATTCTAGTGCCAATGGTAAACTTTCTATATGCTACTTTCTTAGTTCTTTGGTTTATCTTACAATTTGGATTCTTTTCAATGGCATTTAGCGGCGGCGACTAAAGTTTACTTGCGGATATGGTAACTTGGAATAGAGTGTATAAAACTGTGGATGGATTCTTTTGTTTCTCTTTCTTTTTGATTTCTTACTTGTTTTTCTCGTTTACTCTTTTAAAATGGGTTATCGTTTGGTAGCGTTGAAATAGAATCATGATGTTAGTGCTTGACTTTCGATACTATTTTAAAACATTTGCGTTATTGATTTTTTATTTTATTAAGTGTGATTATTATGATTATGGCTAGTTACTTGCTAATCTAGTTTTGCTTGATTGCTGATTCGCAGGTTCCTGTTGAATATTGTATGATCAGATTACTAGTCCCTTTGGTTGAAAGTAAGAAGAATAGCGTTCGTTCTGGCGGTTTGGAAACTCACACATGTATTCAAATATTAGAACCTCATGAAACTAGGTAACAAACTGTTTATTTATAATATCTGCAATTAGGTTTTTTTTGATGATAAGCTCTCTCTGAATCATATCCCTAATATGGAACCATTGAAGATTGTCAATTTTATCTAGGGAATTAGGTTTCTTTAAATGTTATGATATTACTCCGAAGTGATGTAGATTCTTCGAAAATGAATTAGGTTAGTATTTAGCTGATGAATTAGGAATATGTTCATGTTACTTCTTTGAATGCCATTAATGTTACAATGAATTAGGTTACTATTTTTTTTTTACTAAGATTTTTGCTATGATTTACTGAAATCCCTGATGTTATGAATGGTATGTGCGGTGCTTATTATTTAAAATTTAAGCGTAACTAATTCATTTTTTACTTGTCGGAAAATGAATGTACAGAAAGTGAACTATCTTTCCGCCAAATGGTCGTCGAGTTGGAATCTCAATCGTTTGAATTTAATGATAGTGATCAAAACTCGCCTAGCTTCAGATTGCAGAACCAGAAGGCAAAGGAATATGACAACAGTGACTCGAAGAATGTAAAGAAGACCGAACAGTATGACAGCATTGTTGATTTGAAAAAGGGTTACGACGCACAGGTAAAGGACTCACATGAGCCTGTATCTCATTCTTCAAAAGATATCGGATCATTTATGATGTTTGCAAATGATAAAGAATCGGTTAAAAAGTCCCTAGCTGCTCCAATCTCCAATTCTCAGCAAGTCGATAAATTTCAGAATCCGGTAGATGTCCATGTGAACCGCACTGTTGCCGGATGTGAACCAGAAATGGAAGTTTGTTACGAAGAGAATACTTACCATGTTGTGAAGGATATATGTGTTGATAAAGGAGTCTTTAATAAGCATAAATTCATGTTTGAGGAAAATGTTGACAGAGCCGGTTATAATTTCTTTCCATTGGAGAGTTTCGATGATAACCGGAATCCAGAAGACAACACTGGTATCAAGGTGTTAAATCAACCAGAAACTGATGATTCCGACGAGGCGTCTTCTAATCACGATCAGCACAAAGACGACAGTGAGATTGAAGATCTTATTGATAACTTCACCAAAGCGACGGATTTACGTGAAGACACACAAGATGCTGTACCGACTGGTGGCAAGGATGAACAGGTAATCAAAGAATCTAAATACTTTCTTTGGAAACATATGTCCAATGCTTTTCTGAAATAACCGATCAATTGCTGAAGGTTTCAATGCTTAAGAAACATATCTATCTATTTGTATATAACAAATCTTTTGAAACTTTCATGAAAGGAAAAAATATTGTTCGCTTAAATTGTCATGTCTTCGTTTGTAAATTTGTTATTTGTTGGTGTGCGCTGTAGTGCATGCATAAATGTGATGGAAAATAAGAGTTTCAAAACTGATGTTTTTGCATTGTTTTGCAGCTTTCCGTTGAACATGATTCGCACTCCCAGTTGAAAGACGCAAATAATATGGTTGAGGAAGAAGTATTGACAAGTTCTGCTTTAGGATCAACCGTTGATGAACCGAACAGTGATCATCATTTTGCGCCTTCAGCTCCTGCGGACTGTGTCAAAAAGGAACTTCACCAATTCGGTGGCTGTAACTGCGATGAAACTCAACTTACTACCGTTGAAGGTTCATCCGGTGATATTTCTGAAATTCAGCAAGCTGAAACAAGTCAGATTCACAATAGCATTGGCGAGTCAAGTTTTTCTGCCGCAGGCGCAGTATCTGGTCGTATAAGTTACTCAGGGTCTATACCTTATTCTGGAAGCATCTCTATTCGATCCGACAGTAGCACCACCAGCACTCGATCCTTTGCGTTTCCCATGTAAACTTCTAGAAAACCTTTTAATTCAATATACTTATCTGAATGGAATAATTTATACAAAACGTTCTAACCGGACTTGTTTTCGATCTTGTGCTTGCAGACTGCAATCTGAATGGAACAGCAGCCCAGTGAGAATGGAAAAACCTGATAGGAGGCACTACCGGAAGCAACGCAATTGGAAGGCTAGCCTTCTTTGCTGTAAATTTTAAGAGATTATTATAAATCATATAATAGGTTTAGTTTAAAATTTATATATACCATTTAAATTATAGTTGTTCACAGTGTGCAATAGGTTTAGTTTGCCTAGTGCATATTCAATCACAGTGTGCAATAGGTTTAGTCTGCCTACTGCATATTCAATGCTCCGTCGTGGTTTCGAGTCAGTGATCTTATATCTCTGCTGCAAGCAAAATGTATTGATTCTAGTTTTGCTTGCATCGCAAGACTTAAGCTACATACTATCTTTGGTTATACATGGTTTTATTGATTTTTTATTTATTTCAATGGCAAACAATTCTTAGTAGATAATTGATTATTTTATGTATAATTGCAAGGTCTAAAACTAGATTTCAAGTATTTAATTTAGCTTAGGTAATAAGTAAATTCCTATAAATGATCAAAGAACACAAAACATGCATTACATGGAGGTTTTAAGGCCACATTTTAAGGCCACATTTTAAGGCCATGTTTGGTTAGAAGTCAATTCAGGGTTTTATTGATTAACAACTTTCATGATGATAGTTCCATATATTAAAAAGCAATAAATAAGACAGTGCCATTTGATCCAAACATAATGGAAAGAACTTAACTTTAACATCATTGTCATTATATTATATAGATATAGTGGATATTGTGAATGCTTTGGCAAAATCTCTGTTGACATTTTCTATTCAGTATCTCTTTAGAATCTTGTGGCTTTGTTTGGCTTTGGATTCTAGCATTCAAGAGACTAATATCATATAAATGATGATTTTAAATTCACTTTTATGGATCAAATTATTTTTAAGTTTTGGATTTAAAAGATACACTACATCTATTATGCATTGATTCTACTGAGATATTGTTTTCTCTTCACTTATAAAGAAAGATCACATGAATCTTGCATATGTACTTATACTGATTCTACAAACTATTTTAATGTTCACATTTATTAAGTATAAAATCAAAGTGATTTATAAGATGTCAATTATCTTTACTGAATTTTAATAATTTTTTAATAAAAATAGGGGGTCTTCATTGACATTTTATTTTGTATGATAGGCTCCACCAAGCACACATGCATATTGTATGATTGTATATGTATTATTATTATTATTATTCTCTCAGGGACATATCCAAGCGTGGCTCCTAGGAGTTCTAAGCCCCACCTTTACTGTGCACACATCCATTTTGTTAGATGAGTGTTGAATTATTGAATTTCAACAACTTCATAAAAATCTCTTTTTCTCTTTAATACACGAGTGATTTAACTCTAGTATGAGACTGATTGTAGTATGAAAGAATATGTTGATGTTGTTGGTACAAGATGATGAAATTGAGGAAGAAGAGAGAAAATGATAAATGCTATATAGCTGTCACAAATGATTGATCGTATTAAATGAAATCTAGTACACTTATTTATACACAAAAATAGTAAAGATAAGAATGTCACATAGGCCCTAAAAGAGAATATCCAAAAATGATAAATATTAAATTACCCTTTAATACCATCCAGTGATTTAGTAATTATCAGAAACTAACAACACCAATTTCATTTCTCAAATGAAGAAATTGGTCTATTTTTATTGCCTTCGTCAGAATATCTGTCAGTTGCTTCTGAGTGCTACAGTGCAGAACTTCTAACACTCCATTCTGCACTTGACTTCTCAGAAAATGATACTTCGTCTCAATATGCTTGCTTCTTCCATTCAGCACTGGATTCTTGTCAAAATTGATTGCAGACTTGTTATCAATTAACAGCTTTAGAGGTTTCTCTATCTCAATTTTCAAATCCTCCAGAAGACTCAGAAGCCAAACAGCTTGACATGCAGCTACAGCATCTGCAATGTATTCAGCTTCACACGTTGACAGAGTCACAACAGGGTGTTTCTTGGAACTCCAAGAAATTGGACCTCCCAGAAACTTGAACAAGTAATCAAAAGTATTTCTTCTGTCAACTCTGTCTCCACACCAGTCAGAATCAAAATAACTCACTAATTCTGGTTCTGTCTGTCTTCCAGAAGAAAATAGCACTTCGTATTTCAGAGTTCCTTTGATATACCTCAGAATCCTGACAGCAGCTTGATAATGAGATCACTTTGGTTTACTCATGAATCTGCTAACTATTTCAACTGCATAACAAATGTCAGGTCTGGTATTGCACAAGTATCTAAGAGAACCAACCAACTGCTTGAAGGTTGTAGCATCCACAAAATCACCATCAGAATCAGAATCCAATTTATAATTGATTTCTGATGGTGTTATAGCAACTTTGCAATTCTGCAGCTTAAATCTCTTCAGAAGTTCAAGTTCATACTTCAGCTGATGTAGAATGATACCCTTCTTTGAGTACAGAATCTCCATTTCTAGAAAATATACCCTATTTTCCAGATCTGTCATCTCAAATTCATTCATCAGAACTTCTTTGAACTTGATTATATCTTCTGGACAACTTCCTGTTAGCAATATGTCATCAACATATAAACACACCAGAATCATATTGCCACCAGAATGCTGCACATACACGTCATATTCCATCTCACATTTATGAAACTTCCACCTCTTGAAAAACGAATCAATTTTCAGATTCCAAGCTCTGGGTGCTTGTTTCAGTCCATACAAGGTTTTATGTAATTTGTATACCATCCCTTCCTGATTCTTTTTCACAAATTCAGGAGGTTTCGACACATATACCTCTTCTTGTAACGGACCATTCAGAAATGCAGACTTCACATCTAGATGTATCAAAGGTCAATTTCTGTTTGCAGCTAAAACAATCACCAGTCTGATTGTTTCGTGTCTAGCTACAGACACAAACACCTCAAAGTAATCTAGTCTAGGTTTCTGAAGAAAACCTCTAGCCACTAGTCTCGCTTTGTGTTTTCCAATTGATCCATCTGGCTTAAGCTTCACCTTGAAAACCCATCTGACGCTGATGGCTTTCTTCTTTTCTAGAAGCTTCGTCAGCTTCCAAGTTTTGTTTCTTTCAATAACCTCAAGTTCTTCTTTCATGGCATTCAACCATAATATCTTCTAGAGAGCTTCTTCAATACTCACTGGTTCAGAATCTACTAACATGACACACTGAACGACTTCTCCTTCAGAATCTACTTCAGTATCATGTAACATGCTAAAATCTACAAACCTACTTGGTATTTATCTGATTCTCTGTGGCCTCTGAACTTGTTCTGAAGCTTCTCCAGAACTCAGAATAATGCTAGCTTCTGGACCTTGTCCAGAACTACTTCCTTCAAAATTACCACCTTCAGAGTTACTTCTGGAAGCTTGTCCTCCAGACCCTATGTCTTCAGAGTTTTCCCTTCCAAAAATATAATCATCACCAGATTCTGGATCATCATCAGAATTTGGATTAAAATCAGATCCACTATCAGAATCTCCCTGAGATTCTGACTCATCTTCAGAGTCTTCAGATTCATCTTCTAAATCTGACTCATCTTCAGAACTTTCTGAAGAATCTTCAGAAACTAACTCTGGTGTTAGCACTACACCGGAATTTGATTGAAGCTTGTTCTAATACCATGTTTCTGACTTTTTCACAATAACGTCTCTGCTGATTTCAACTTCTGGACAATAAAGCTTATAGGCACTTGTACCATGGTACCTCACCAATAAAATTACTCTGCTTCTATCATTCAGTTTCCGTCTTCTAGCTTCTGGAACGTGTTTGTAGCATACAAAACCAAACACCCTCAGATGACTAACACTTTGCTTGTCTCCAGTCCACTTTTCTAAAGGAACAATTTTCTCCAGCTTCTTCGTTGGATACCTATTCAGAACATATGCTGACGTGGTAATAACTTCTCCCCATAACATGTGAGGTAACTTCTTCTCTTTCAGCATACTTCTGGTCATATCAAACAAAGTTCTGTTTCTTCTTTCAGCAAGACCATTGTGTTAAGGAGTATATAGAGCAGTAACCTCATGTTCTATTCCATTCTCCTTACAGAACTTCTGGAACTCTGTAGAGTTATACTCACCTCCACCATCCGTTCTCAGAATCTTCAGCTTCTGACCACTCTGTTTCTCAGCCTTCACCTTGAACTTCTGGAACTCAGTAAACACTTCATGCTTGAACTTGATGAGTGTTACCCATGTCATTCTTGTGAACTCATCCACAAAAGACACAAAATATTGTTTCCTCCAAGTGAAGATACTGGAAATGGTCCACACACATCAGAATGTACTACTCCCAAAGCATGCTTCACTCTGGGAGCTACTTTTGATGCAAATGGCAATCTGGGTTGCTTGCCTTTCATGCATATCTCACATGACTTCTGAGGCTTCACAATCTTCGAAATGCCATGTACAAGCTTCTTAGAACTTAGATGCCCTAAGCTTCTGTAGTTCAAGTGCCCCAACCTCATGTGCCACAGCTTACTGTCACCTTCAACGCCTTCTGCACTAAGACACTCTGCTTCAGCTGTTTCTACATTCACTTTAAATGTTCAGTTGCTTCCCTGCTCAGACTTCATAATCAACTTCTGATTACAATCATATAACGTCAAGAGGTTGTCCTTCATAACAACTGAGAATACTTTCTCAATGAGCTGACACACACTCATCAGATTGCTTTTGATTCCAGGAACATACCAAACATCTTTGATCAGAATGTTTTTTCCATTCTTCACTCTGACTCTGACATTTCCCATACCTTTTGCATTAAGATACTTATCATCAGCACATCTGATCTTTGTTCTCCTTCTGGAGTCAAAGTCTATCAGCCATTGTTTGTTCCCAGTCAAGTGGTTTGAATAGTCAGTGTCCATATACCACCAATCTTCTGAACACTTTCTATCAGAATCAGAAGCCATTAGTAGTACAGGTTCATCATCAGAATCTCCTCTGACTATATTTTATTCTTCTGATTTCAATCCCCCGTTTCTACAATCTCTGACAAAATGGCCAAACTGTTTACAACAGTAACATTGAACTTTCTTCTTGTCATACCTTTCCTTTCCCTTATGATATTTCTTTTCATCAGAAGTTGAGG